GGGTTGCCCGACGATTCGTGACAGGAGAAACCCGTCGAGTGGAAGGATGACTCGACGAGCCAAGAGAGGCTAGAAGGATTCAGAGGACCCGCATGGACTCGCCGAGTCGCCCAGGTGCACTCGACGAGTCGGGTCAAAGTTTGACCGTTGACTTTCGTTGACCTTAGGGTTCTGGTCAAGACTGATTCAAGAAAGTTCAGAGAGGGGTAGAATGGCCTTCTACCCAATCTTTAGATATGAGACTATGAGAGAATATTGATCGGGGATGTTATTTGAATAATAGGAGGAGGCTAGGTCGGGACGTTGAGCACGAGAGTTTATCCGACTTCATTGAGGTGAGTCTTCTCACTATACTGTACCTGGAAGGGTACCTATGTGTGACCGGAAGGTCTTGTATGCTATGAGATGTATGTGCTATATGTTGTTATGTGATATGTATGTGTTATGTATGTTATATATGATAAGGACCAGAAGGTCAAGATGACATGGACCGGAAGGTCAGGAGGTTACGGACCGGAAGGTCGATACGGGTAGGACCGGAAGGTCTACCGGGATTCGGGACGGAAGTCCCCTGAGACACTTGGATCGGAAGATCCTACAGAGTTATGGCCTGGAAAGGCGTATGTGTTGTATGTGGTATATTGGGGAACTCACTAAGCATTTATGCTTACAGTTGTTGTGTTATGTGTTTCAGGTACTAGCGAGGATCGCGGGAAGGCACCGACATGATTCGTACACACTCATAGAGATTATGTTTTGAGATTCTGGGATTTGTTTGTTATGATGACATTGGATACAGTCTGTTTGATATTGTTTTTGATGATTGAAAATGTGATTTAAAAATGAAAAATTGTTTTGAAAATTTACGTTGTTACAATATATATATATATATAATATATATATATATATATATATATATAGAGAGAGAGAGAGAGAGAGAGAGGAAGGATCATTTGAGAACTCATAGTTTCCCGAGAACCCGAGAACTAAAAGTGGAGCGTTGGATCAATTCTTTCGATGGCTAAGATGATCAATGGCATATTTTGTAAATATGACTGTGTTTAGTGGCATATTAGGTTTATGTAAACATAAGCATAAGGGTAATACGGGTATAAAAAAATTAATCCTGGATATCAATCATTCCCCCAAATTCAACCGATGCCCTCTTTATCCCAAATCCCTCGATTTGTTCATCGTCTTAGCATCCCTTTTATCTGTTACAGATTCATCAACGATCGTTCCCCCAAATCCAGAACCGCCGACCAAAATCCATGGTCTCCTCCGTCAGTTGTCACCCTTGTTCAATCATTCCCCATCGTCCGCCTCCCTCCGCCCTCCAATAACCGGCCCTCCCTCTGATTCCTCTATCGATCCGATAGATATGGAAACGACCTTCCAATCGCATTTGAGGTTCACTTCACTAGCCGATCAACAGTGACGGCTTATTGAGGAGTTCCAGGGCGGCGATGGTGCCTCAATTTCATATATTGAGGGTATATCAGAACAAGTTCTTCACAAAAGGCATCTGATTATTGCAACAATTCACCAGATCTCTCCACTTTCGATTTATGTTTCAAATTATATCATCTTTTGAATTTGGTCTTCTAGTAGGTATTTATAACCTCTTCCTAGCTTTTCTCGATTTATGAATTCAAACTTTTGTTTATAGTTCCAATTCAGTAAATTAGTTTTTGATTTTGTATAAATATATTCGTTCATAGATGTTTCTCTTTTGATGGACAACTATTTATAGGCCATTATTTATGAGTCAGTAAGGCCATTTGTGAAGAGTATATTTCGAAGAACTAAGAGAACGGTGGCTGAGCTGTTGTGTCTGGAACTTGTATGGATCAAGGTAATGTTGATTTTGTTGAAGCTAAATGTTTTTAAATTACTTATTAAGTATATATTTGTGGTTATCTGAAAATCGGATCACTCATAGACCAGATGATTATTATCGATTTTTGATGCTTACTGCTTTCTTTGTTTAAGTTTTAACATATTTGTTTTCAAGGATGATACTGTTCAAAATTAGGGCTTTGAAAGTTTAATTTACTACGTAGGGTTGGCGATTGTGCATTAATTTGCTGTAAGTGATAAAGACCGAATGAAAATAGTTTCTAGGAGCCTTTCATTTGCACCATTCTACCTTTTCATCAACAAACTGGAATGGAATCAAACATTACCTGCTTAGATTGGATTGCTTTTGACAGGTTTTGAAATGTATTATATTCATTACATTTTTGTATGTTAATATTAATTAAATAGAAAATACATTAGTTTGAGCTACTTTCTCTATCATCTCTTGTGCATGTTCATGGTACTATGAACCCTCTTGTTTTATTTGTATGTTCTTTATGTTTATTTCCATTTAATATTTTTTAATTGATTTCATTTGATTGGTATTTTGGTATGAAATGCAAAAAGTTGTCAATCCAAAACTTACACCATTCGTTTATGGCAGGTTTGTCACATTATTTATTTATTTTATTGGTCAAATTACCCACTTTTAGTTTATTTATTATTGGTAAAATTATTCACTTATTCTACATTTTCATCAATACCTGAACAAGATAGTTGTAGCTATAATTTACTTGGTCATGTGGCGCCTTCTTCCACTGATTCTTGCTAATCAGGAAATATAATATTTGATTTCTATTGGGTGAACATTTTAAAATTTTTTGTTTGTTTCCATGAAGTAATATCAAGAAATGTTGTTCTAAGTATATATTATGCTTATTTGTTTCATATGGTGTGGAGATTTATCCTCGAATTGGAAAAAAATGATATCATAGTTTTCATCAACTGTAGATTTTGGGTGATGTCTTGGGTTGTTCTTTCTACAACCTACTGCATAAAGCAGGTATGTAGTTGAAAACCATTGATTTACTATAAAAATAGTTTATTAGTCATGTAAGTATCATTTGTCTTTGTGGATGTGCAGGAGGATCTTATGTTGTTAGTTCCTTATACTAAAGGACCAAACAATAAGCCATATATGGCTATAATCAAAGTATTTTGGTTTGGTCTATTTTTTCTAAATCAAAACTTGCCTGGATACTTGATGTCTTGATCCATAAATTACATATTATTCACATATGAATCACATGTGATTCACATGCAAATCACAATTACACGTGATTCACATGTAAATCACATGTAATTCACATATGAATAACCTGTAATTCACATGTAAATCACAAGTTTGTCACATATGATTCACATGTAAATCACATTTACACGTGATTCACATGTAAATCAAATGTAATTCACATAATGAATCGCATGTGATTCACACGTAAATCACATTTGATTCACATGTAAATCACATATGATTCACATGTAAATCACATGCGATTCACATGTAAATCACATGTGATTCACATGTAAATCACATGTGATTCATATGTGAATCGCATGTGATTTACATACGATGTCATATGTAAATGTGATTCATATGTGAATCGCATGTGTTTCATATTTGAATCGCATGTGATTCATATGTTAATCACATGAAAATCACATATGTATTTTTGTGAGTGTTTTTGCATCAATCATTTTTTTTTAAATTTTTTTGTAGATTTGGAAGAAATTGTGGTGAATATTGAAGAGGTGAAAAATGATAAATTGAAGAAAATAAGGAAATATTGACACGAAGACATGAAAACACTTTGAAATTTGTAGCATTTTTTTATTTTTTATATTTTATTTTGTATCGAATAAGATACTTGTACTATTATGTTTATAGATTAATTAATAAAAATGAGATTTTTTGTGATTTACTTACGAATATTATAGTATAAGAAATATACATATATGCATTTGAAAAATATACATATATGCACCTAAAAATTTACTTTTTTTTTTGAAAAAATTGCAGTTTTTTTTTTAAATGCAGTTTTTTTTTTTGAAAAAAATGTAACTTTCTTTAAAAAACTTGCAGTTTTTTTTTGAAAAAATTGCAGCTTTTTATTTAAAAATGCAGATTTCATTAGAAAAATTGCAGTTTTTTTGAAAAAAAAAATGCAGTTTTTTTTTTAAATTGCTGTTTTTAAAAAAAATATTTTTTCAATTTATTTTCAAAAATTCATGTTTTCTATAAAAAATTAAAAAATTTGCATTTAAAAAAAACAAAAAATATATATTTAAAAAAATCTGAAAATTTGATTTATGATGTAAGTTTTTACACATTTATATTAATATATTAAATAACACAAAAAAAAAACATTAAATGAGATTGGTAAGATGACGATCATGTCCTTAATGAATTACTTTTGATCCAACGCTCCACTTTTAGTTGTCGGGTTCTCGGGAAAATATGAGTTCTCAACCGATATATATATATATATATATATATATATAATATATATATATATATATATATATATATATATTCACTTGGCTCTTAGGAATAGTACGTTTTAGGTCCTCTAGACATTTGCCACAAAACTTTACAAATGTTACATTTTTAGTCCCTTAGACCTTTGGATATATATATATATATATATATATATATATATATATATATATATATATATATATATATATATATTCACATGCTCTTTAAGAATAGTACTTTTTAGGTCCTTTAAAGATTTGCCACAAAATTTTGCAAATGTTACACTTTTAGTCCCTTAGACCTTTGGCAATAGTATAGTTTGGTGTCTTCGGGTTTTTACCACATCATTTTTGCTAATGTTACACTTTGGACCCCTTACTACATGTGTTTTATATGTCTTTGGGTTTTTGCCACACCATTTTTGGCAATGTTATACTTTGGGTCTCTTACTACATGTGTTTTACAAATTTCATCATTTTTTCAGTTTTGACTTTTCCTTTGTGCTCTAAGACTCGCTTTGTAAAATGAACAAATCAATTGAAAGATGCTTTTTATTTTGTTGCATTAAAACCTTATTATTATTATTGATTAAACTCATTTAGAAACATCATGACATTTACAAATTTCAATCAAACCTCCACAAATTTCGCTAAACTTATTCGAACTCGCGCCATGGTTTTTTTACTAGCATTAATAATTAGGTATAACTATCAATCATGATACAACATTTGCATAATATACAATATTACATAAATAAAAGATGGAAGTGCATCTAAAATACACTACAATCACTATCCACACAACATCGCCAAGAGACGGCGTTTAATGTCTTCATCTTCTGGCGATAAGTGCTCTTTCATTAACAATGCATTGAGATGCATGTGATACATCTTCTTATTCTTCCTTTCTTCCCTTTTTTGCTCCAAGTCGAGTCTTTTTCTCATGAGTTCAACTTCATTGTCTCTGGTAACTCTCATTGCACGAAGTTCTGCAACAATTTCATTAGGAGATGAAGAAGACTGTGAAACCTTAGCTTTTCCTTTCATTTTAGATGCATCTCCACTTGTAGGAGGGTGAACCGTTGAACCACCACTATTTGGCGTTTCTAGGTTGGAGTGGGGAGAATAGTCCCTTTCTTTACTAGTCCTTGATCTTTTTATGCTGCCACCACTTTCTTCATTATTCACCTCATATCCGTTTTCTTCATTATCCACATGATGGGAACATGTTGTGTCACGATCAATCTGTAATTCCCATTTTGCCCCTTGCACTTTTTTTGGTAATTTGTGTTTTTGGGTTGGAGTGGACGGAATAGTCCCTTTCTCCACTAGTCCTAAATCTTTTTGGGGGTTTCCACTGTAGAAAATATGAAATTAAAGATATAAAAATATGGCATTATATAGTATATACATGTACGAATATGCCAATATTAGGCTCTATTTACAATTTTTTTACATAAAAATAAATGCAACTTAAACCAGAATTTTTTTATGAAAAATATAGATCAGCCAATAAAAAAATGACAGGTGGGAAGTAAAAATAAAAAAAAAAAATGGCAAACCCATGGTTGGATTGTCAACTAGTTCGGTGTTTGTTTTCATTTTCCTTTTTCTTTATTTAATTCCTCTTTTTATACTTGATCAATGACCAGAAAACATATAGTCTAAGAAATGGTATCAACTTACTTGGCAACAAACTTTAAGTCTTTCACAGCTGCCTCCACTGCATGAAATACAATCTTCTTCACCTGTAAATTAGTGAAATCAATTTTAATTTGTAACAAATCAAATTTAAAACAATGAAAGAGATGAAATTATGAGCCTGATTGACTCTTACGATGATTACTGTTTAGAAACTATTATATAAATCGGATCAAATGATGCCACGCATACTATAAACTATAAAGTTACAAAAGCATATATATACTTTGACAAGAAATAGGTGAAAAACAACATATCATAAAAATAAAAGCAAGAAATTTACTTGTTCAACATTAAATATGTGGGAAAATGGGTAGGCTGGACAGGTTATATAATAATTTCAGTTTTATTAATTAATATATAATACTATGTTGGTAAAAAGAAATTATTTGTAAAATATAAAGAAGAGAATCTTTACCTCCAACTTATCTTCTTTTGCCCAATGATTTTGGGGAAGAAGGCGGAAATCTTCTGTCAGTCGGATGCATTCACCAACATTTTCAGGAGAAACAAATTCCAATGCAACTTTTATACATGACTGCTAAAGAACAACACATTTATGCAAAAGTTTATATAACAGTTAAATTCAGAGACAGACTTTTATAAAACGATAACACTCAAGACAATATTTTTCAAACAATAGCTTTTCTACTATCAATTAGAAGCATCTTAGATGTTGAAATAAGCATAGTATTGTATTACTAAAGACTTGATTAAGTAACCCATTTGTCTTAAGGAGGAATAAATAAATGGAACTTCCAACATTTAATCACTTATACAGAAATTATGCAAACACATAGTTTTCAGATTATGTAAATATCCGTAAATTATAAATTTTTTACTATGCAATTTAGATACGATTTCTTTTTCCATTAATACAGTTACATAAACTTCATAAGATCCCTTCCATGTTGAAATTACTCGATTAATGAAAACAAGAAGAGAAAAATCAATAAACACCCTTGAGGCAATTAATGCATGAGAAGAAGATGAGAAATGCCAATAAATCTGCTTGATCCCAATAATTCCAAATGGAACAATTTAAAGCAGTTTTGAAAGAGGATAAAAACTAGTGGTAAGTTATTAACCTTTAGATTTCTAACTTGATGAGCACATCCAGCAGGTATAAAGACAGCATCCCCAAGCTTTTGGACAAAACTCCATGCTTCAATTCCTGATCATAACCAAAAAGAATGAGCACAATCATAAAATCTTTTTTCAGTGAAAGCTGATATATAGAGCCTTGCAAATGCATACTAACCAAACTCTTCCTTGAGCTTCCTTTTATGGTCCATGGTTAAGTAAAATGTTTGATCATGAATTGGGTGGATAACCTGGACCAAGAAAATACAATGGGACAATTTAGAAAATTGCTATGTAGGATTGTGATGCTACAGATACATTAATTTCAACTGAACGTAAGGATTAATACCTGCTGCAGTGGAAGACAAAAGGCATGTCTGAACTCTTTGAAGTGTTTTTTGAGATATTCCTCCAGTTTAGGAGTATCTTCCCTCCTAAACACATCCCACAAAGCACCTCCCTCTTCCAGATCAGAATCAGATCCATCCACACAGCTACCTGAAATACCACACTGGTTATCAACTTCTTCAATAGCTTCTGTTAGTTAAGTAGTGCTAAGTTCTTCAGTATATGTATGGTCTATCAGATTTTTCAGTGCATTTATTTGAAAACTTCTCTCATATCCTGCACTTCACTTTCTTTCTTGCGTTTCCATTTTTTCAGTTAGTAAATCCTTTCTCTTCCCATTATCTTCTTGATTGTAACCAATGTGAAACTCAGCCAACGTTTTGGCTTTGCTTCCAGTGTTAACACAACCAAATATCTAAAGAGTAGCTAGTTTTTTCAACATCGATATCATATTAGTTTTCCTTTCAACTTTGAGATTCAACATGATTGTTACCTGGTGTTCCTTCTTTATTCTCCCCTACCACTCCCAAAAGTTTCTTCTGATCCTGAACCTTGTGCAGCATTTTCAAATAATTTATCCTTGTACAATGGTCAGAGCTGGGGGTAACAGTTGCAGTATGAGTCAATACATTCACCTGCATAGTCGCCAGAAAATATATAAAAACCAAACACAAATTCAGCATGCAAAGTAGAGAGCATCTCTCTTGGAAACAATTCTTCACTTAAAAAGATGTAGCATGATAGCTTAAATGTTCACAAAAGGTTTATATATTACTAAAAAATAAACAAAAAACAATACCCAAGTCCCCTAAGAATGGGATCATGTCCTCGGTTAGAGCCAACTCTTTCCCTCACTAACAAAGCAATCTTGTTCAACAAAGAATGCAAGTAACTACCTCATTCCCTCTTATTATCCTCATCTTTCACTAAAATTCGACATTTATCATCCTCAATATACCTAACATTTCTTATATCTCTTTTCCTTTGCTCTCTAGCTTTAACAAGCCTGTAGATACCATTGACCCCCTTCTTTTGTGTCCAATCTCATGTACATGGCTCCATATACTATAGACTTTGCTTTAACCATTGCTTCCTTCTCTCCTTTTGCATCTTTTCTTTGCCATGACTCAATCATCCTCGGTTCCTCACTACTAATAAACACTCATTAAAGCGGGGTTTTTTTAAACTTGACCTTACCTTGAACCTCATCGCTCCACCATCAAAATTCTATATGCTTCTTGGCCTTCCATATCGACATCCCAAGTGTTTTGGGCCACCTCTCTAAGGGAGGAGGGAGTCATTTCCCTCCCAACCCACTTCCACATCAGTTTTTTTCTCTCTTTTTTCTTCATCTTTTTCAACCCACAACACATGAAAGTCCTATCTTTTTCAACCCACTCAATTAAAAAAAATACAAAACAACTAAGATACAAGTCTTAGAACACATGGTACAAGAGAAAAGGAGAGAGATGAAGTGGGTTAGTGAAACCAATTAAACAACCTATCACTCCCAACCCACTGAAGAGGAGGGAGTGGTATATTGGAGGTATCAACAGTAGCTCTATTGCTAATTAAGACTTGTTGTGGGTTGGAGGGAATGAGTCCCAGCACTATTCCATAACTAGTCGAATGAATGGTTCCAAAATTCACTTCTAAAGCAATCATATCCCTAACCTTGACTATCACATCCTTTAAGTTTTCCCAAAGAATTCTTGGTCTAGCTACCTTGGCTCCCCTTTCTACATTACTAAAACGTAAGCTCATCCTTTAAGTTTTCCCTAAGCTCTTGTTTACAACCAGGAGTTAAAGAAATGGAGTTGGACTAGAGATAGGTCAAAAAGAAAATTTTGGACCACCAAAGCAAATCGTGCATAGGCACAAACTCAACCAACATACGCCCCTCTTTGTTCTAATTACCAAAACCAAAAACCCCGTACACACTGTCATACTCATCGTCTCTCTTCCTATATGATCATTAAAGTCACCCCCTAAAGACCACTCATCGGTCCTCCTAGATGCTCCTAAGAATATCATCTAATGATTTCCAAAATTTCGTCCTTTGGACTTCTCCAAGACTCCAACCAGATGGAGGGATTAAGCAAAATGAAATGAAAATCCCCCTCAACTAACCAAAGCACTGTTGTGCTGAGAAGTTGGGGGTGACCGATGATTCTCATTTCGGAAAACACACACACATGTTTCTTGAAAAGAAGAAATGGAAGATTCATTCAAGAACTGAAATCTGAAATCTGATAGAGTCAAATTCTCATCGCAACCAGTCAAGAAATTGATGACAGCTACTTGTTCCCTCTAACTGCATAGCTTTGACATCAAAACTTAATGGAACAAGAGATTAAGCTCCTTATATACCTTCTTGAATTCCATGACATAATGATAAGCCCCAACTAATCTTAGAGTGCTTTTACTTGATTTGCTTTATTAGAGTCATTCCGTTATCTATTTAGCCTTAGGGGTAGAATGGTCCTTGTGGTATTATGGTTATTATTGGCTGTTTGGTTTTGTGGGAGCACTAACCTTGTCCCGGGTCTGTTTTTGGGACCACTTCCCTGAGTTTTTTTGAGTATTTATCCCCCTGTAGGTTTTTGTTTTGATTAGCTAAGAATTGATTTGTAAAGAACTTTGTTCTTCTTTTGGAGAGTCCATTCCTCTCGAATGAATGAGAATTCTATCTTAATTTTATGGTATTATTGAGCGTTTTGCTGCTGTGAATCTGTTAGAATGCCTGGGGTTTACGATAGATTCAACAAGGATCTATCAAATGGTATCAGAGCAGTTGATGCTAGGGAAAAAATGATAGCAAATGAACAACAACAACAATCTCTGTGGATTCAACAACAAGCAAAGGCACATAGAGAGCTGAAGATCATCCGAACAGAGTTGCTAGAGATGGTGAAGATAATGGAGATGCATCGTCAGAACCAGATAAAGAGAGAAGAAGAGACAGAAGCTAAAATAGCATAAATGAAAAAATATTACTACTCAGAGGAAGGGATGGAGGCTGAGAAGGCTAAATGGAGACAAATTTACTACTCAACCTTGAAGGAGGAGGAAGTAGTCAATGAAGAGGAAGAAGAATCATTGAAAGATACTGAGTTGGAATCGGATGATGATGAAGAATCCTTGGAAGTTACGGAGTTGGAATCGAAACCTATGATGGAACCTCAGCTTCCACCATCACTGCTGCCGGCCCCACCGCTTTCTCCACCAGTGCTGACACCACCGCCATCGTCCGATAATGAAGAACTATCTTCGGAAGTTGAATATTCGGAATCGGAATCCGAGTCAACTCTGCAGCTCCCACAACCAATGCTGCCGCCGACAGAACCAACTCCGCCGACGTCTCCACCTCCATTAGCGCCGCCGTCTCCACGACCTCTAGGGTGCGAGAACAGAAAAATGGAGATGCCATTGTTGAGCGGTAACAATGCTAAAGGTTGGATCCTTGAGGAGAAAATGTATTTCACGTTCGACCAACTGCAAAATGATGATAAGATGAAGGTTGTGACGATGTCTTTAGAGAGTCACGCCCTGTTTTGGCTCGAGTGGAAGCATCGAAGGTGCCCAATACGAGATTGGGAAGAGCTGAAAGGTTTACTTCGTCGACAATTCCAATCTTCAGAAGCCGGAGGGGAGCGATGCTCGACGTTTTACCCGGTCGGAACGCAAACAAGAGTCAAACGGAGCTTGTTAGAGAAGACGGTGACGTTAAAACAAGTAACGGAAGAGGTAGGTTTAGGTTATCACGAAATTGGGCTTAACCGGGATAAGTGGGCTACAATCAATTTTTGTGGCCCATATCATGTGAATCGGACCATTGGTTTACTGGGATAACCAAAGAGAAAATAAGCCCACATATTATTAAATCAGTGATAACTAAAATGGCCCAAGCAGCGACGACTTCATTTTTCCTCATGTACGCCTCTCCCCTACCGTCAACAAACCCAAATTCAACAGTGACGGTGAGAAACACAGAAGATGGAACAACCGCTAAGGAATCGAGTTTTTCTTCCTCGATAAATTCTATAAGAGTTACAAGATTGATGTTGGTTTTGTTAACTACCTCAACGATTATTGACCTTCTAACTAGCGGTAATCCTGATTTCTCAAACTTATTTCCCTCATTGGTAGTTGTTTCTTTGAGATTGGTATCAAAAGTACCTGTCATCATTCATTCCATTGATGATGCCGTTGGTTTCCAATTCGAGTGGAGGATGGCTTTCTGGGATACTTTAATTTCTGGGTACAAGCTTCGTCACCCAAGCTCTCTAGAACCTCCCAATGAGAATATTATAATCCCACAACAGCATCAAGGAGGTCAACACCAAAGTCAAAACCTCAATGCAAACAATGTTAGCATCCAGGAAAGCCCATGGGTAGTAGAGGCAGCAACATGTATGAAACAACATGTTCCAATACAACGGCAGGGTGACATCACAACCAAGAATCTCATTAATTCAATGAAACGTCTGCACATTGAACCTCAAAAGCAAGGTTGGTTGCCCAGGCATGACATAAATAGTTTGATCAGCTACATGTTCAATCCAAACACAAGGAAAGCATCGGTAGAGGCTCTGCAACAAATACTCAAGGGTACAGAGGTTGTGAAAAATGCTAATAAGAACAATGCATCTCATGATATCTTATTTGTAGCCCGTGCTCTTGTAATACATATTGTTGCTGCAAAAGAGATGATGTCTCAGGGTGTTCAGGACCTAATTAAGAGACATCAAGCTCAAACTATCACCTCAATGAAGGGTCCTAGTATTAGCATTTGGGGACGGACACTGAAGGAACAAAGACCCCTATTAGGTGTTGCTGAAGATAGGGGTAGTGATACATTGATTAAATTGATTCTCAACAAGCTTGGTGTTAAGGTTTGTGAAATTAAAGCTTCTGGTTTTGATGAGAACAGGAAGGAAAAACTGCAAGTTCTGGCCACCACCCTTACGGGAGGTCAGCTTATAATAAAAGAACTTGGAATGAATATTGACCGGGTGGAAGCGGACACAAGCGAGTCCAGCACATGCGATCATGATAAAGAGATGTTTCAAGAAAGGATAGCCAAGTCTTCTGGTGGAGTTGGACTACTCAAGATTAGATTATAGGAGTTAGAGACACTGAAGTAAGCCAAAAGAAAGTTAAAGTTACAAATGCTTTAAAGGTCACCAATGCCAGTGTTGAGATCCTGGTTGAAGTCCCACATAAGTTTGTGAATGTTGTTGGGGAGATGATGACGCCAAGGGAGCCGGCTCCTGGTCGCTTGTCCCTATATGTGATTGTTAAGGAGAATAGGAAGGTCGTTGAAACTGTCAAAAAGATCTTTGGTGCGGTGAACGTGGACAAGATACGGCCTGGACGAATTTGGGTGCTATACAATGTTTTCATTCACCTTGAGGACAAGGTGAAAGTTTGGGCCGCCGGTATTGATAAGCCCCGACTAATCTTAGAGTGCTTTTACTTGATTTGCTTTATTAGAGTCATTCCGTTATCTATTTAGCCTTAGGGGTAGAATGGTCCTTGTGGTATTATGGTTATTATTGGCTGTTCGGTTTTGTGGGAGCACTAACCTTGTCCCGGGGACCACTTCCCTGAGTTTTTTTGAGTATTTATCCCCCTGTAGGTTTTTGTTTTGATTAGCTAAGAATTGATTTGTAAAGAACTTTGTTCTTCTTTTGGAGAGTCCATTCCTCTCGAATGAATGAGAATTCTATCTTAATTTTCTGGTATTATTGAGTGTTTTGTTGCTGTGAATCTGTTAGAATGCCTGGGGTTTACGATAGATTCAACAAGGATCTATCAAAGTAGTGAGTGATCGATCTTATTCCCCACGATGAAAAGACTTGCAAACATTATAGATTTGTTATTGCATTGTCCAAAATATAAGAAATCAATAGTCCATGAGTTCCTTCGCATATTCACAGTAACTACCAAAGACGAGACGGATCAATTAGTAGTATTGATGATCTGCAAATACAAACATCACTTTGTAACGATGAACCAGAACGATCAGCTTTAAGGGATCAAATGTGAGATGAGAAGCCATTCGCATGCTTTAGAGATAGATATAGATAGTTTTGCTCCACTCAAAGAAGTTGAATCCATTAATTTTGTTGTCGGTTAGTTAGCTAGTAGAAGCATCTCACGTAAATGTGGACCCCTATTATGCCAGATGATTTGTCTTCTCCGAATATCTTCCAATAAATCACGAACGAAAAAAAGAGAAGGGTGCACTTACAAGGTGCTTAGAAAAGTGCCACAAAAAATCGATGTTCAACACGAAAAATTCCCCCAACACTAAACCTCTCTTTGATACCATATAAACAGGTCATAGATTGGTGTTGAAAACATTATGTTAATCTAATTTACAAGGAAGGTACTAGACTATATATAAAAGTATAAACACAGAAACCCTACAATCCCATGGGCAAATAGGGCCGCAACTAGTAAGTACAATATTTACATTCTAACACATATCATTTTGATAATGCCTAAAGAGCCAAATTCAAATCCAATGAATCCTAGAGTCTAAACAGGAAATTTCAAGTAGAAATTTAGCAGAACCAAATAGAAAAAGCATACCACATCAGCCATGTCACAATGAAGTTTAGTTACAGAATCTCCACGTCCCAATTCTTGATGAACGCCATAAGCTATATATGTTTTAGGACCCATGTGTGGCTTCAAAGATTTTTCAGGCAACTTGACAGCAAGATTAAGGTATCCATCACGAGGATGTGTATATTCTTTGAAGGGCAAGGAAGTGATGAACTCAACACCATGACGTGGTAAGCCGTCTTCAAATAAATTTGATATAGGCCATGCTTTCAACTTTAGGATCTTAGGCCACCCTTCGTTGTCATATTGACCATCCGTATACCAAGCAAAAAAGTTATGAATATTAATATCAACCTGCATTTCATGAGAAAAGTTGATTAGGCAGTATCAAACGAAATAGAAGACATTTGTATGAACTCTATATATCCACCAATTACCAAAGAACACAAATAATAATAAAAATTCAATATGAAATACAAAAAATGGACATACTTAACCAACCTCACACCAATCTAAACAATTAATAGCAGCATTCTTGGTACTTTTAAGCTGGCGAAAAGCACGCCACATAACCATGGGTTCCCAGCTCAACCCAAGTGTAGTTTCAAGAACATTGCTCACTATTACTGGCTCCCCTTTTGACCAATGCCACTGAAAATGCTTCAAATCTCCAAGTTTAATGTCTATTGCACGTGGACAATACAAGTAATTGTCATTGGAATTTTCACGAGATGCAGCTTTTCGTAACTGCTCATCACCACCATTGCTTTCTTTCACAAAATCTGAACAAGAGCAATGTTGCTCAAGTATCTCTCGCATATCTTCCGGTTTATGCATCTTTAAGAGCTCTTGTGCTTCATTCAACAATCTTGAAACGGTGTCAAGCGGCTTTATGTGCATCAACTCTAGAATTCCACCACCACAACCACCCATACTTTCTGGAGGACAAGGAATTCTTCCATCATCCAGAGACTTCCAATCATGAGTTTGCTTTTCCTTTGGTGCAGGATCTTCAGCAGCTGTCTCAACATAACAGGCATTCTTCCCATGCAAGTACTTAAGACCTGGATCTCTATATTCAATGATAACTTCTTCCTTGTTTCCTTGAAGGTTGCCATCTCGTAATTCAAAGCAACATTGAAGGCAAAGGTCATAATGACAAGAAGGGCAGCTTCTGTGCAAGTCAAAAATTGAAGTTTTACAGCAGTTGCTGCATACATCATGTAATAAGAAAAATAGAATATCATTATATGTAATCCCTCGAATACTTGCACATACATTACAATGACATACCAGTTTATGCGCTCATCCAAACTGCAGTTTGCATCCTTCAACTGTATATCCGATAAAGAAGATCCTGCCCAGAAATTAAATCTATGGGAAACTTACAAAAAAGTATGTCTGATTGCCAAGTGAAATCAGAGCTGTATTTTGGAAATTCAACAAGAACACTACGATGAACAATCATAAAATACCTTGAATTATAGATTCTGTTGTTTTCTCCTTTATGTGTTCCTCATTGAGACACTTCAAGATTGGGAAAAGCACATGTAGGATATACATAGAATATTGAACTTTCTGATCATCATTAGGTCTGAAATCAATCTTCTCTTTCCCCTGAAACCACCAACAGATTCAGTATTACGTTTTTTTATTGGATATGAGTATATGAGTAGGAACAACAATAAGTTCCAAAACAAAAGATGAGCTGCAGGAACCAACTTTGGGGTTCACATTGCGTAAGCAAGCTATACAGTTACAATTGTCACGGCAAAAAGGGCAACACTCAGCAAACATCTCCTCTGTCATGTTAGGGTACCTACAGAGCAGTGTCAACAAAGAGAATAAGATGAAGAGGCAATATAGCAAGAATCAAATATGAGTGCTCATGGACAGTTGGAAAAAAGGGATTGACTGCTATTCTTCTACCATCAGCTTAAAACAAAATTTTCTAAAAACTGGGCTTTAGGCATCAGGCTAGTAGGTTATGGAAGCATGGTACAAATTCAACCAACTGAAAGTTAAAAAGCAATGAGAGAAGTGTGTGAAGGGCTAAAATGATGTAATAAGTCAATTAGATTGAACCTTGCAATGCAGGCATTCGACTTTCAGTTGCTCAGCTAAAAATGAAGAAAAAGTTTTTGATTTTTGACCACTCATACCATCTTGTCATACAAGGCTCACAATAACGCTTTGAAGAGCATTTCTGGCACTGCACAGTTCGTCCCCTGTCACGTCTACGACACTGATGACACCAGTTTGAGGGTACCTGAATTGGATTTCCCTGCCAATCGATGGAAACTAAAGAGATAATGTTTGATCGAACAATCAAGTAGATTTCCTAAATAAAAGTAGAGAGAAATCAGGGACATAGAATATTACATTTTCATCAGGAACCAAGTTCTTGGCATAGTACTTTGGCTTTGAACCATCTTTCCTGCTTGAGTTGGAAGCTGCCTGGTTTGTCTTCTTTCGTTCCTCTTCATCCATTTTTTCTATCTTTCCAGCTAACCACCGGTGTTTCTTCCTACTTCCTTTCTCTTCAACATCATCACCTGTGGCCTCAGCAAGGGCTTCAACATCATCACCTGTGCCCTCAGCAAGATTCCGGTTCGTCGTACAATTTATCTCCATCAACAAACAATAATTTTTGAGAAGAAAAAAATTGAAAATTTACAGGAGGAAGAGAAAACAGTGGGTGGATTTAGGGTTTTGGGGCCAGTGGGGGTTTGCTGTGGATGTTAAAGAGCCAGATCTCCGCATGTTGAACTCCACTTCGCCGAGTTCGGAAACACAGAACAACAGATTGAAAGTCAAACCCTAGAATTTAAGTTATCAAATGCGATTTAAGGAATGATGGAGGGATATTTGCGGAAAAGGCTCAAACTTTTGACTCACGATTTAGTCGTAAATTAATTTTCTAGAAAATGACAGGTTATCGGCTATCAGTTTATCCCTTCAAACCGATAACCCCTCTATTAGTCAGTTGCCCCAGCCGACTCGTTCTTATCATCCTCCATTAACCTTCCCGTCACCCACTCTTCTATAAAAACCCTTTCTTACCCTCCATCGAAGCAAAACCCTAGCTCGGAATAATCAAAGGTAAGAAAATCCATGTGGTCCTCCGTTATCTTGTTTCCCTTATAATATTCTGATTAATTTTTGTTTTGTAGTGATAATGGAGACAGTAGATGACTTGGATACAATTAACGTGGAATTGGATGAGTTTTTCAAAAAGAAACAAAGAAGTCGATGCAAAGACGAGTTCCTGAAAACTCTCATTGATGAAGCGCTTGACGAATGCACCATACCTAAGATAAACCTACAAAATTTTGAAGGAATCTCGGAAGATGAAGCACCACAGGAGAAGTTGAGTGAGAGTGAGGGTGACGATGAAGTCAAATTAAGGTTTCCGTACTCAACCCATGATCTGAAGGTGAAATGGAACAATATGAAGCCAGTTCATGGGAAGAGGTATGAATCACCACACCAACTACAACTTTGTTTGAAAAATTACTCTATAAGTAGGGGTTATCCAATTAGGTTCAAGATATGTGATAGTGTAAGGCTTGTGGCTGTATGTGCAAGTGACCCTGAGAAATTTCAATGTCCCTTTGTTGTAAGGGCCTTATGGATGAGCACTGAAAGATCATTCCAAATCAAAAAAATGGTCAAACTTGATCAAAATCAGGTAAAAGTCAAAATTCCAAAAAAGTCAACTAAGTCAACCCAGCTGAGTACGCCCAGCGTACTCAGTTGTACGCCCAACGTACGCGTTGGTTGACCAAGCACGGGCCTGTTGACCACGTACACGCAACGTACGCCCAACGTAAGCAGCTGGCTGCCAACCCAACTCATTAAGAGCATAATCTTTAAGCTCTTAAGCCCATTTTCCAGATCTAAGCCCAAAATTATGTCCTTGACCATAAAGTCTTACATGGCCATTAAGTGCTTAATGTCCAAAACCCTATGTTCTTAACCCATTAAGACCATCTAACACATGCATGTGTTACATACAACACTCAAGATCATATTTTTATGGCTCATAATAGATCCATAATGGATAAAATTTCCAACTTTATCCATTAGAATGGTCCCAAAAAACAAGATCTAGTCTTTAAGTCTCAAAGGGACCCAAAAAGTGCATCTTTTCAACTTAATCCATTAAGCCCAAGTCTCAAATCTTCATATCTGAATCAAAATGATGTTTTGATGGATAAAGTTTCCAACTTTATCCATAACAAGGTCACAAACTTTCAAGATCCAAACTTTATGCATTTAAAGTGACCAAAGCTCATAACACTCAAAACTAGCTAGATCTAACAATATGTCACAACTGGCATAAATTAGGTTAAGATGTGAATTCCTGTACAATATAATCTCCTTGAGTAACCTTACAACATCTCATCTAGCGAAATTCAAAACTTCAACACCATTAAGATTCTACTCTCAATACATTGACAGTTAGGTTGAAACAATCCCATATAAGCTTGAAACCCAAGCCAATAAGCTAATCCACCCAACTTTGGGCCTTAGCCCAAGTTTTCTCAGTCCAAACCCCTTAATGGACGAAAACCATTCAATTGTTTTTCATGGGCCAAAAACCCATTTCTTTCACCACATTGGACCGCAAACCCATAAAAGGGGCCTTCATGGACCAAAAAGTTTAAATTGGGCCATGGTATTCTAGGTTTCACTTCAAACCCAAGCCCAACATTTTTTTTCCTTCCCTCTCTTATTGGGCCGATCGGGTAGCCCATGAGTAAAAAAAAAAGAAAAAAGAAAAGTGAGAAAAGGTGGTGGATATTGTGAGTGCCACCTCACTTTTATACTCCATAGATCCATGCATTGCCTAGCATACATCTAGGAGGGTTGGAATTGTCCAACATACATCTAGAACATCTCTCTTTCCCTCTCTTCCCTTAAATTCGGCCAATCCTCCCACCTCCCTTCACCATTTCATTTGCAACTTATCTCTTCCCAATCATTCAAGAAATCCATCATATTTTCCTCCAAAAATTCGTGGATGGTGTGTGTGTTTTCAAGAAGTCCTCTTCAAGATCCATAACTTGGTAAGTTCTTGTCTAACTCAAGAGTTTTTACTTCATGTTTATGCTTAGAACTTTCCATTCACACACTTTGTTGTGTGTCAAACTCCTTAGAACACCCATATTTTCGAGATCTCTTCAAGGCACAAGCTAGGTTCAAAGTTTCATCTTCTTCTTCATCTACATCTCAAAAACCCCAAGGTGAGCTTCATACCCCCTTGTTTTCGGTTTTATAATGTTTTTGGGGGAGAATACAAGTGCTTTTGTGTTAGATCTATGTATATATGCATGTTTATGTGTTTAACTTTTAGATCTTTACTTGAAAATGAAGTTTATCACTTGGATCTTCATATAAACCTTGAGAAAAGTATGTGTCCTCACATATAATACTTGTAAACTTGTAGATCTGATATTTATCCACTTAAAATAGCAAAAACAAGTGTTGTGAACAAACTTAGATAACTTAAACTCAAAAATCAGCCCTTGACAGAAAAGTTTTAGTCCAATCTTGAACTGTTTTGACCTTTTTAATGGTAATATTTTTCAAAACTGTTTTACATGCAAAATGTTCAGGTTATTACCTTTAAAATGACTACTCTCACGTTTTCATACTATTTTTCTACTATTTTTGGCGAATTTTACAAAACTGTCTATCAGATTTGAAATAATATCGGACCAACATGTGAAGGTGAGCAATTTAACACTTGTTAGAGGCCAATAAAAATTATGAGAAAATTTGTGAACAAAGCAAACAAAATTTCCAAACTTCCAGAATTTACGGATCCAAATTTCGACTTACGATGATTTTTCTACAAATTTTCCAACAACTAGGTCAGAAAAGCCAAAAACCAGAAAAATGTGTATTTCACAAAAATCAAGCCAAAAATGATATTTTTGACAAAAATGAGTTTAAAATGTTATTTTTACCACAAACTAGTCAAAAACACAACTTTTGAACAAAATGGGGGCTAAAGTGTTATTTTACTATAATTGGGCCTTAATTGAAAACTTTGTGGCTTATTGGGCAAAGAACGTCATTTTTACAAAAAAAGTGGGCTTTTTATATCAAATTTTGTAAATAATTGAGCTAAAATAAACAAAACAATAACAAACGGGTTAAAAACGATATTCTTATCCTTATTGGGCCTAGAAATAATATACATGTTTAGTGGGCCTTAGTGTCCCTTTTACATGTATATTGGGCTCATGGTAAACATTCATATTCCTTTTGTGCCTGGAAATAATAGATACGTATAATGGGCTTTAGTGGTCCACTTACATATTTATTGGGCCTAGGAATGAGTTTTATATATGTTCTTCTTTATTTTCCGTGTAAATTTTCGATTAAGGATCTAGTGAGACCTGTCGGTTGGCACCATTGAGTGTATAATCGTAGCCTGTAGTTATAACCAGAGTTTCCTGGAGGGAAAGCGGGAGTTTGTGTATAGATCTATATGGGGGTGACACCCCACACCTGAGCCGTTCGCTACAGTTAGACTAGGCCAGTCTAGGGTGACAAAAACCTTATTCTATTCCGTCGGCGTCCCAAAGACGCAAAGACAGACGAAAATTGTCATTATTTAGTATGGTTGTAACGACTCACTTAGAGGAATTAACGTTATAAGATTTACAGGAAACCATTCTATTTTCTTTTTGGGATAAAACAGGAAACCATTATATTTTCTTTTTGGGATAAAACAGGAAATCATTCTATTTTCTTTTTGGGATAAAACAAGAAACCATACTATTTACTTTTTGGGATAAAACAGGAAATCATTCTATTTTCTTTTTTGGGATAAAACGGGAAACCTTCTTTTTGATAAAACGACAATTTATAAGCACCGGTACTCAACCACCGGGGTTGAGATTCCAGCATCAGCTATCGCAGACAACATCGGGTTGTCTGGAAATCATTCTCTTTCTATTTTCGTAAACATTAACACACATGCATTAATATAAGATCAAACACAAATATTTCAAACCATTTCTTTTTAGAAAATATCAGATTTCTGAAAGCGCTTTGAAAGCGATTCTAAACAAGTACAAAAACCATTTTTATTCAAAACTGCTTATGAACTCACCAACTTTTTAGTTGACGCTTTTCAAAACGACTTGTATTCTCAGGAATTCCAGTAGCAGGTAATAAGTTCGACTATAAGATCAAGTGGTGCGACTTCAAGAAATTTTACTTTCTTACTTTTTGTGTAACTGATGAACAAGATTTCAATATGTAAACTATGTAAGTGTGTATTTCCAATGTATGATGTTTGGTTGCTATGTTTCATTCATATTCAATTGTTATGATACTGTACACGAGTCGTCCACCCCGAACGTTTCCGCCGTCCAGGTTCGGGGGTGTGACACAATATCATCATCAAGATTCAAACTTTATACCTCTAGAAGAAAGATCAAGGTGAACGAAGTCTGGATCTACAAGCTTCAATGCAACCAACACTTCTTCCATGAGTTCCTTCTTATCCAAGGTGCACCAAAAACACTCCAAAGCACTTAAAAACACTTTCTTTTTTCTCACAAGGCTCAATCTAGGGTTAGGGTTTCAAGAGAGGGTGTTGGAGAGGTGGAGGCTGAGAATGGAGTGAGTTTGGGGAAGTTAAGGAGCTTAAATAGGGCTCAAACCACGAAAATAGGGTTTGGGCACTGATCGCATACGCCCAACATACTCAAATTACGCCCAACGTACTCAGGCATACTCAATACGCCCAGCGTACTCAATTTACGCCCGGCGTACGTGGTTGACCCAAAAATCATCCT